CTGCCCCCTCCCCTGTCTGTTCCACCAGTCAGCGCTGGCAGATCGGAGCGGGGAGAGGGGAATCCAGCCCCTCCCCCTGTCACGGCAGAGAGCCGTGACAGGATCGAGAAGTGAGCGAACGCCGGTATGTGTTTGCCCACCTCCCGATCTACTGAGCCGACCTGTGACGGTCTCATTGTCACATGTCGGCTAGAACTATGAGGTGAGTGGAAATCACTCATCTCATAGTTCTCCTTTAATGACGGAGGACAAATGTTGCGGGTCCTGAGGTTACACAGGTTTAGAACCACTGTTATATAGGATGCCAGAATTCATCATAGCCAACATGCTAATTGGGATGGTTGCTGAACACGGCAGCAACTGCTTTAATAATTAGCTCAGCACTTCCAAAGAAAACTATTTTGGCAGTCATCATCCCTGAAACATTTCCTAAAGCTATTTCACTGACATTATCATGATGAGGCATCACTGAACTAGATCATCGGGTTCTCAGCCATCCAGAGTTTTCTCGCATTAACCAATGAGGGAACACAGAGTATCTAAGGAGGTTATGACTGTGTGCGGGAGAATTAAATTCTTCTGATGAAAGTGCCAAATAATTATGCGCTCCTTGACTTAAATGTGAACACATCCTCTTTCTCTAGAAGGGTCCTCTCGTCCTGAATTTACCCCGCAGTAGGAAATGTGATTACTCTGAACCATATTGAGCCCTCATCATAATAACATGTGCTGATGTGAAAGAGACCAAAAGAAGCTTTGAGGATTTGTGGCTGTGCTGTGACCCCCCCTCCCCCCCCCAAGGTGAGCTTTGACTTGGGAGTCCGGCCATCACGCTGACCCAGAGTGTGGTTTGGAGACCCAAGAATGCAACCTGGAGAGAGGAGGGCCAAAAGCCAGAAGCAGAATATGAGTTCTGGACCGGATGGCAAAGAATGCATGTCAGAAACCACCTGCTATAGCGCATGCGTGGGGGCCTGTTTTCCATACCACAGGCAAATGGGCACTTGCGCGCATGCGCGTGCGCCAGGGAACGGCCTCGAAAAAACGCGCCAAATGGTGCACATGAAATTACGTTGTTCCCTAATGGATCACACTATTTAAACCTGCCTGCCCGTCTCCAAGTTGCTGGATTGTCTTTCACCTCCACTGTGTTCCTGTGTTTCCAACCCGTATTGTATGTGACCCCTCTTGTTTGCTGCCTGCCTTCTGACCTTGGATTGTTTACCAGACTATGCCTCTGCCTTCTCCCTTGTACTTTGCTGCCCGACCGGTGTGACCCCCGGCATGTTTGACATCGATTTTGGACTCTGCTCCTGACCCAGTGCCTGGACTCCAGCTTGCACGGTGTGATCACCACTGGCACCTGTGCCACTCGCTGTCCACTCAGACTCTGTTCCCAACTCCAGAGGTGCAAGGGAAGCCTCCTCACACATTCAGTCTCCAATCAGGTACGTGACACTGCAGATCAAAGTTGACTATAACCCAAGTACTGTAAGAATCCAACCTTTCTGTTGTATCAGTGCTGGTGATGTAGCTATAGAGTGTGACAATGGTAGCACTTTTTGTAAGGCTATAGATAAACTATATTGCCAAAAATATTTGGACAACCCCTCCAAATCATTGGATTCAGGTGTTCCGTGAAATTTCCTGGCTACTAAATATTCCGCGATCACCTGTTACTGGTATTATAACAAAGTGGAAGCAACCGGGAACAACAGCAACTCAGCCAGGAACTGGTAGGCCATGTAAAATGACAGAGCGGGGTCAGCGCATGCTGAAGCGCACGGTGCGCAGAAGTAGCCAACTGTCTACAGAGTCAATAGCTACAGACCTCCAAACTCCATGCGGCCTTCAGATTGGCACAACAACAGTGCGTAGAGAGCTTCATGGAATGGGTTTCCATGGCCGAGCAGCTGCATCCAAGCCGTACATCACCAAGTGCAATGCAAAGCGTCGGATGCACGCCGCCACTGGACACTAGAGAAGTGGAGATATGTTCTCTGGAGTGACCAATCACGCTTCTCTGTCTGGCAATCCGATGAGCGTGTCTGGGTTTGGCGGTTGCCAGGGGAACGGTACTTGCCTGTCTGCATTGTGCCAAGTGTAAAATTTGATGGAGGGGGAATTATGGGGGTGTTTTTCAGGGGTTGGGCTTGGCCCCTTAGTTCCAGTGAAGGGAACTCTTAAGCCATCAGCATACCAAGACATTTTGGACAATTTCATGCTCCCAACTTTGTGGGAGGAGTTTGGGGGTGGCCCCTTCCTGTTCCAACATGACTGCGCACCAGTGTACAAAGCAAGGTCCATAAAGACATGGATAGGGAATTTGGGGTGGAGGAACATGACTGGCCTGCACAGAGTCCTGACCTCAACCCGATAGAACACTTTGGGATGAATTAGAGCGGAGACTGCGAGCCCGGCCTTCTCCTCCAACATCAGTACCTGACCTCACAAATGGTCCAACATTCCCATAGACACACTCCTAAACCTTGTGGATGCCTTCCCAGAAGAGTTGAAGCTGTTATAGCTGCAAAGGGTGTAGCCAACCCAATACTGAACCCTACTGACTAAGACTGGGATGCCATTAGAGTTCATGTGTGTGAAAAGACAGGAGTCCCAATACTTTTGGCAATATAGTGTAGATGTAAGTCAATGTATCAGTTCATTTAAAGTATTTTAGTTCTAGGTGGCAACTGGTGGAGTTTTGTGTGTTTCTGAGCACCTTTGTGTGTTCCAGCTCCTCCTGTTATAGTCTACATAACATAAATAATATTAAAAATCCAGCAGAGAGAGCAGGAACCCCACATAATGGCCACCTCAGGTATGCAGATCTGGGAACTTGGCACAGTGATCTGTTTTGTTCATGGCTGTCAGCAACAGTATGAACATGCCTAAAGTCTGCCAAGTTGAATGATGCTCATCATTAATCAACCCAGAAGACTGGACCAGCTCAGTTGGTTCCATTCATTTAAAGGATTAGTTCACGTGGTTCAGCTGACCAGGGACAGAGGCTTTGTACTATATTATAGTTTGTTAATTATTTCTGATGAGGAACCTGCAAAGTTTTCTACCAAAAGTTCTCAATTCATGCGTCCCATGCATTGGAAGATGTTAGCTGTCCCCTCATTGTCTTGACTGACCCTATCGTGAGCAGGAGGTTCTTTAAAACCCAGATGCTTGTACCAAATTTAGCATCATCAACAAATAGTTTTTTTTCCCAACAACAATTTACAACAGAGACAATGACAGTTTTCATTTTAACAATTGAAGAAGTGGAGGTGAGAAGTCAGAACCCTTTGCGGCAACTTTGTCAAACTTGAACATCAACCTTTTAAATGAACAAGGAAAGACCTTCTGGTCTATGGTAGCTCCAAACAAATATGGTCAGAACATTTAATAATGCCATCAGAGACTTGACGAATGTTATTTGAAATTTTGTTTGATTTTAACATTAGGTTTTGGAATTGAATGGAGTTTCTTGAAAGAAAATCATAATCTGTTAGAACTTCATTGGCTTGAGAAAAAACTCTATCCTGCTCTTTCATTTTTTTTTTGGTCACTACGGTCAAAACCAATTGTTGATTTAACTCCATTAACTATTCAGAAATTGAACGTAGATTCCCAAAACACCTGCCTAGTTTGCCTAGTGGCAGCACCGGCCCTGCTAGGAGGTAGGTGTCCATGTGGAGTAGGGGTCTATGTGAAGTAGGGGTCGCCTCCACGTAGACCCCTACCTCCTAGACAGGTTTGACTCAGTTGTGGCGCTTCCTTCCCAACCTTTTGTACTGCTTTGACAAACAACGGACACCCCGGTCCGCACAAACGTGAAGCAGCACACTGAGTATTCAACCTCCCAGCCCCCCGAAGAGCGCGGTGCCACAGGACAACTCTCCTAATTTTTCATAAGAGAAATCTTCGAATGGCAACACCTGTTCTGGTGACAGCTCTGGAACTGAGGAGTTCCCCTCACTTTGAAGAGATTTTCTCTTACTACCAGTTGTATCTTTCAGACAGGAAGTGAGAAGAACGTTCCCTGATTGGACACAGGCAACAAACACAAAAAATCAGACAGGGGTTTTAATTATCCACTTTTCTATCTATAGCAAACATCATCTTTCTGCCACTGAATCGTGAGCAGTGTGCAGCCAGTCAAAACCTTATACTACTGTATGCTTGTTGGGGGTCAGTGACTCTAAAACATATGTAACATTTTCAGAAGACTCTACGGTATTTTCCAGGCAACCATATCTCGAAAGCTGAGAAGAAACTGGATGGGTATGCCATTGTCATATAAGGCTTTACATTGACATTTCTGCACTAGCCACACAATGACCTTGATCAGTCATGAAGTATTAAAGCCATTGGATTACCATGACAGGTAGATAGCATTTGGAGAAGGAAAGCTCAGAAAGGGGACTTCCATTTCTTTTTCAACACAGGTTTTCCACCAACCATCTTTTGAACCAGGTATATTTTGGTTGGATAGGAATCATGATGTCATATATGTTAATTGGGACTTTTCTGGAGCAGATGTAGGATGGCCTTTTTCACTTCTTGGTTTCTCAGGCTGTAGATAAGAGGATTCAGCATTGGAGACACCACCGTGAAGATGACAGAAGAGACCCTTTCCTGATTCTGGAGGGCAGTGGAGAATGGATGAAAGTAAGTGCAGAAAACTGTGATGTAGAAGATGGAAGCACACATGAGATGGGAGGAGCAGGTGCTAAATGCTTTCCTCCGGCCAGACGCTGAGTTTATCCGTAAGATGGAAGAGATGATGATGGCGTAGGAGACCAGGATGGTCATCATTGAACTTAAGCTAACCAAACACACAAAGTAAAGGGTGACGATGGTGCAGTTGCGGGTTGGAGAGCAGGACAACCTGATCAGTGGAGGAATGTCACAGTAGAAATGGTCTATGAGGTTAGAGTCACAGAATTCTAAAGTGAATAGACTGCTGGTCTGTGCCGCTGACTGTGCAAATCCCATGGAGAAAGAGAGGAGGACAAGACCGAGACATTTCTTCTTAGTCATTACTGACACGTAGTGAAGAGGGTGGCAGATAGCGACATATCGGTCATACGCCATGTCTGTGAGGACAAAGACCTCCATAGCTACCAGCCCACAAAAGAAGAAGAACTGAAGGGCGCAGCCGATGAATGTGATTAATTTCCTCTCAGAAATCAGATCAGACAACATTTTAGGAGTAATTACTGAAGAATAGAAGAGGTCCACCATAGACAGATATCTCAAGAGGTAGTACATAGGAGTGTGGAGGCTGGGCGAGATAGTAACTATGGCCATCATCCCAATGTTTCCAAATATGGTCACCATGTAAACCACTAAAAACAACATGACGAGGAAGGGGGCAACTAATTTATCATCAGTAAGACCAGAAAACTCGAACACGGTCACTAGAGTCTTGTTTTTGACACCCATGATGTTTTTGGTCTGAAACAGTTGTCAGCAACTTATTTGTTTGTGATAACCGAATATCCAAAGATGATACCAACTGGTGTCCTACAGTAGTTCGAATTAATACATTCAGACAGATTTTGTTTTAAATGATCCCCTTGATAGAATGACATTTGGAGTTGTGAGGGCATCTACTTGGGTTTGAAGAAAAAACGTTTAAATGCCATTTCATTATCATCACCATCATCATTATCATCCTCATTACATACCAAGTTCTTAGCCAACAATATCAGTGGCTGTAAATGTGGACTTGGTATCTTTCTTACTAGAAATAGAGTCTCTGGGAATACAGGAAATTTAAGTGTATTGAAAGGTAAAGCTTTGTTTCTCAGTTTTGGATAGATTTTTGAGCGGTTTGGAACCTCTGTCAGATTTTTATTACTGAGGTCTTCAACAACATGGTGCCATATTGTTTGCGATCACTGCAGCCAAAGATGAGGCATTCTCTCTGTTCCCATTGTGAGCCCGACTGTAATCTAGTATTTGAAAACACTGTTGCCATTGCTACAGAAACACAGAAATTCCTATTGTGACTCTGGCATCATGGTGCCCATCCACCCTGCAGTAAAAACATTGCTGTGGTCTTCAACAAAATGGTGGCAGAAGATACCATTTTATAGCAGATCACTGAAATGAGCTCATAGCTACCTGCCTGCCACTGATCCCATCACACTCCTCTCCTGCACATGCTCACCATAATAAACTCCGCTCTGTACATACTGCCCCCTGTCTTACCCTCCACACTCCTCTCCTCTACATACTCTCCCCTGTCATACCCTCCACACTCCTCTCCTGTACATACTGCCCCCTGTCATACCCCCCACACTCCTCCCCTGTACATACTGCCCCCTGTCATACCCCCCACACTCCTCTCCTGTACATACTGCCCCCTGTCATACCCTCCACACTCCTCTCCTGTACATACTGCCCCCCGTCATAACCTTTACACTCCCCTTCTCTACAGCACCTATTGCTATGGATATATGGCCATGTGGAGATAAGAGAGCCAAGTGAGGGACTGTTTTTTTAGAAGCACCTTAACAAGCAATGAACAATCCAAGCTTTGAGATCTTCTGTGTTCTGCAAATCTACTTTCCAAGTGACAATGAAATCTTCCAGCACAGTACAGACAGGGCTCATTATGGCAAACACAGCTCCCCAGCCACCTCATAAACATTGCAAGGAGAGAACCAAGTCGGATTTTCCAGTCTTGTAGTTTTCAGAAAGTAGCACGCAACGAATACAGGGAATTGAGTGACACTCGCACAATTCCATTGACTTATTCATGTTGCAGTCTGATGGGTCTGCTGCTACTGGAAGAATATTTCATATTTAAATATATAGAAGAACAGAAGCATTAGAGTTTTTTTTAATCTTTTACCTCTTAGAGATGTAATTGTTTGACGCTCAGGCCCCCGTGCACCGCCTTACGTCTGAATATATAGAGAGAGCTGGTTTTATAACCAACCCAATTATCAGAGAAAATAATCTCAACCTGCCCCAGAGACCGTCATGAAAATAAATCCATAAAGACTCGTAGATGATTTATTTTAGCTTGGGGACTAATTTGTATCATTTATTATTTATATACTGATAAAGAATTTAACCTGCCATTGGATAAAAGCTAAAATCACCTTTTCATTAAAAAAAAGAAAAACTAAATTAACTCACAACACCCTCTTCACTCCCACAGTCTCAAAAGAGATCCTCATTGGTCAGTGCAGTCAAGTGTCCGTGTTGACCAATGACCACTAGGTGTTGCAATCACTATCATACTACACATCCTCTGAAGTCCAGGAGCCATCTGATCCTCTGTTTTCGCATGGGGTCTTTGGCCTAATGGTGTCCTCCTTTGAAGCAGTTCCATATACCATCATTTATCTCCAGGTCATTGCAGGTAACCATTCTGGCTGCATGGGACAAGAGGATGAAGTCTCTGGTTTATTCCATTTGACTAGTAGGATCAGGCATAGTGGGGTACAAGCAGGGTGCTTTAGTTGGACAAAACATTCCTCCCTAATGGTTTGGAAGGTGCTCAGGATGGATGCCAGCCTATCAGGTTGGGGAGAAGTTTGAGGTACCCTCTCAGTACATGGCACTTAGTCGTTGGTGAAGCTGGGTTCCTGATCAGTATCCTGGAACTGAGGGCGATTTGGTTATCCCTTATGGACCTCTTGTCAGTAAGTAATTTGACCAGGATTGAGAGGAACAATGCCATGGCAGTAGCTTACATTAGCCATCAGGGAGGCACTGCAGCTCAAAGTGAAGCAAATCTGCTTCTGGCTTGGGCAGAACGTCACGTTTTAGCCCTGACCACTGTGCCCATCCTAGGCTTGGAAATCTGGCAAGTGGACTTCCTCAGTCATCAATGTCTGGTCTCTTGACCCAAAGGTGTTTATAAACCTCTGTCTCAGATGGAGTAAGACAGACATGGACCTCCTGGCTTCCAGGTTCAACAACAAACTCAGCATGTTTGTCACCAGATCCAGGGATCCTCTAATTTTGGAAGTGGATGTTCTGGTGATTTTGTGGGATAAGTTTAACCTGATCTATGCGTTCCTCTTCTGAAGCAACTTGCTCACATATTCCACAGGATTTAAATGGAGGACATTGCAGGAATTCTCATCATGCCAAATTGGCGCAGGAGAATGTTTTACTTGGACATCATCAGGGGCCTGGCAGACTCTTCAGAGGCCCTCCCTGATCTTCAAGATCTACCCCAAGGGGTCGGTTTACCACTTTATTTAAAAGTCAATGTCTTTTAACGGCTTGGCTGTTCTGAGTCACAGGGGCCTATTGCATTTAGTCATCCCTATGCTCTAGAAAGCTAAGAAATTGACTTCTGGAAAAGTCTGCCATGGCAATTGGAAAGCTTATCTCTGTTGGTGTTAAACAAGGAAATTCCTTGCCATGATTTTTTTTGTGGGACAAATCCTGTTCTTTCTCCAGTTTGGTCTAGATCAGCATTTGGCCTTAATTACCATAGAGGGTCAAATCTTAGCCTTAGCCGTTCTTTTTCAAAGACCGCTTGCCTCTCATTTCTTAGTGTAGGCCTTCAGAGTTTGCTCACATTGTTCCTCCTGTATTTTCCTCCTGGACTCTGTGGGATCTCAACCTGGTTTTGCCTGCTCCTGGAAGGCTGCCCTTTGGACCTATTAGGAATATTGCTCTATCTATCTTTAATCACACAGTTGGCTTTCTCGTCACCATAACTTCTGCGAGGTGAGTTTGTGCTACTCTGGGACAAGGTTGTTTTTAAAGCCCAGGACCTCTTTTCTTCCCACGGTGGTTTTTTCCTTCCACCATAACCAGGGCATTATTCTACCATATCTCTGTCCTGCTCCTGCAGATCTTAAAGGAGAATTATGAGGTGAGTGATTTTCACTCAGCCTCATAATCTGAGCCGACCTGTGACCATGAAACTGTCACAGGTCGGCTCAGTAGATCGGGAACTTCCCGCTCACTTCTCGATCTATACGTGCAGAGAGCCGTGACTGTCACTCATGGCTCCCTGCAGGGATTCCCCCCCTCCCCTGTCTGATCCTCCAGTGCTGACTGGCAGAACGGACGGGGGAGGGGGCCGGTACAGCTGGCTCTGCCTCTAGATAGGCAGAGCCAGCTGTCACTCAGGCAGCTGGGTGGATCCAGACAAAATTGTCAGGATCCATTCCAGCTGTAGCTCGCGGTATACTGAGCTTTGGGTGACGGGAGAACGCTGGTTTGTGTACTCCCGTTACCCTTAGGAGAACTATGGAGAAAAGCCCTGACCCCATAGTTCTCCTTTAAGGACACTTCCCACCACTGTCCTGAAGATTCCCATAGGGAACAGCCTGCTTTCCCAGTCAAAGTACACTCCACAAGATTAGTTAGTGCTTCATAGGCTTTTCAACATCAAGCATCTGTTTCTCAGAATGGAAGGCTGCCACCTGGTCTTCTTCTCTTCGCATGCTTGTTAAAGTGACACTAAACTCAGGAATTAAATCTAAAAAAACACATTTAAGGACCTTAACTATGAACAACAATGTACCTTATTTGTGTATCACTCGGCTGTAGATCCTCCAATCATCTCTGAATTGGTGCTGACACTGTCCTTCCTTCTGGAGGGGGGCTACTTTTGTTCCCCATGGTCCCTGTGTGTGTTGTAAAGTAGTCACTACTCCAAGCTGACTCCCGGGATGGACTACAATCTCATGTTTAGTTTACTGATTTGCATTGAGATTGCAGTCCATCCCGGGAGCGAGCTTGGCGTAGTGACTACTTTACAACACACACAGGGACCATGGGGGACAAATTTGCCACCCTACAGAAGGAAGGACAGTGTCAGCACCATTCCTTCAGTTATCCATTCCTTCAAATGATTGGCTCTTGTTACTCAGCTGACCAGGGGCAAAGGCCATGCACTGCATTTTAGGTTGTTAATCATTTCTGGTGGCGAACTTGCATTTGAAGTTTTCAGCCAAAAGTTAATGATTCGCGAATCTCCTAGATTCGGTGTGAACCTATGGGGTAGTCGCAAACCCAAAACTCATCCATATTCGTGCTTTTTGTCAGAGAAACATATTCATTGGAAGGTGTTAGCTACCATATCATTGTCTTGAATTATCCTTTCATAACCAGGAGGCCATTGATGCCTAAATGCCCGGACTAAGGGTGTTATTTACTTAGCTGCCGAAGGTGAATAACCGAGCCGAAGTGAAGTGAACCGAACGCTGTTCAGCTATACACTTCAGCCATACATCGGCTAAAATGAGCTGTACATCGGCTGCCTTCGGTCAGCCAAAGTGAAGAAGGATTTCGACTCAGCCGATGCAACATCTGGATCGGGGGCTGAACAGCAGTAAGTGAATAGCCAAATGCCGCAGAATAGCCGGCATGTGGCTCGGCTATTCTGCTCGGTACCTCCAAGGTAGCGAGAAGAATAAAAAATAAGTGAAGAGAATGGAAAAAAAAAAAGTTGAAAAATG